GCACCCAAAAGCAGGAAACCGCGTGTCAACGCACATCCCCTCGGCCCGGAACTCCAGGCCATGAGATTTGCGCGGCAGACAGTTATCCCTGTCCCTGAACCCAGCCCAATAAGTAATATATTTATGTTATAATTAATATATAGAAATATATATTAATATAATATAATAAACAAAGTTACCTTAGAGTTGCTCCTTATTCCTTCCTTCTACACAACTACAACACTGCTATCCTCTCGAATTCTTTGAGCGACTGCACATCAAGGTTCTCTGTTTAAGATTTCTTTCAAATCAAGTTCGTGTGCAAAAGGTCAGCAAGGTTCTCTCTTTAAGATTTCTCTCTTTGATAATTTTTTGTTTTTAACTTTGTTCTCTCTAAAAAGCAATCAATACCACAAAGCATATGCATGTATGTCATGTGGCAAGCCTTCGAGTGAAGTTCTTTTCGTTTTGAGAGAATAAAAATCACATCTTTATTGCTATATTCTTATATATTCAATATTAACATGTTCATATTGAATATTTGTTTATCATCTATAACTAATTCCTTTCTTGTTGTTTAATCCAATTGCATATAAATAAAATATATTAATTGTAGTAAGTTAGATAATTATATAATAAAAAATATTGTACCTTCCAATTACTGTATCAATCTTTATATTTTTAATTTATATGTTTTTTTTCTCCTAGATGGGTGACAGCAATGAAGGAACTCAAGTTCCTGAAACCAAATTGAGGAGGATAACAATCCTACACCAACTAAAAATGATAGCAATTCAACAGTAACTGAAACACTACTACAAAAAGGGCAAAAGACGACCAGAAAAAGACGACGGTAGAACTAAAAACCGTCGTTGTTTTTAGAAAGACGACGGTAACAAAAAACCGTCGTGGATAAGTGACTTAAACAACTAAAAAATGGAGATACTGTTGAGAATTTTTTTATAACGACGCACACAAATAAAAAAGCGTCGTCTTATTAAAAAGCTTTTCTTTAGAGTTAAAATCTGACCAAAAAACAACGACAGCAGGTATGACAAGCGTCGTCTTTTAAAAATCAAGTGTCCTTTTTTTGGTAAAGACATGGTTGTTTTGAAAGAACTGTCGTCTATTATATGTAAAGATGACGGTTTTCATATAAAAAGGGTCGTCTATTATTAAGTAAAGACGACGATTTTTTTATAAAAAGGGTCGTCTATTATATGTAAAGACGACGGTTTTCATATAAAAATGGTCGTCTATTATAAGTAAAGACGACGGTTTTTTTATAACAAGAGTCGTCTATTATATGTAAAGACGACGATTTTCATATAAAAAGGGTCGTCTATTATAAGTAAAGACGACC